GCCAGAGCGTCTCTCCAAAATGTCACTCCTCTACTTAAAACCCTTCAGTGGCTCTCCAATGCCTTCAGGATGAGGCCCCTACTCCTTAACTTAGCCGATAAGATTTTTAGGATTTCACCTCTGTGGGCTCCTCTACTGTCATTCCTGTAAGGAGCATGCTTCTAATGGCTAGGCATAAATCGCCACTTTCCACCACTTCTCTAGTTACCGTTAAATTATTCTTCTTGACTCAGCCTCACTGTCATTTCTACCAAAAAGTAGGTCCTGATCCTTCCAAGTTCTAGGTTGGGCATGATTCTTACAGCCCTATCATTTTACTTACCACCTACACTAGTATCTCTTTCCAACAGAATCTGAGTCTTATTCACTGTCAAGTCCCTGGTTACTAACATCTAGATTCTAGATATTATCATCTAGATTCTAATAATATAAATAAATAAATAAATGAGGTCAGAAATTTAAGAATGGCTTATAGCATTTCCTCTATTTAGTGACCATATTTTGTCCTGTTCATTCTGTTCTACCGTAAACCAACTTGTGTCCTGAACCCATTGCTGTGTTTTCTTTCTTACCATTCACTCCTTTGCATCTAAAGCACAGGAAAGCAGAAATGGAGAGTGAACTGGAATCTTCACTGAACTCCAAGAGTCAAAACATGGGTTACTAAGGAAAACCAAGGAATAACCTTTCCAGAAGGGCTTTTATTAAAAAAAATGAAGGGCGGTTTATACATGGCAGAAAGATTTTTAGGCATGATACTACCTGAAGATAATAAAATAGTTTGGATCAGCGATTGCTACAAACAAATCTTGAGTGCAAATTTAAAATGAGGGGGAAGAGTCTAGGGTAATTTCTTCTATGACCATATCTCTGCTTCTTTGGATTTTACAGAGATAGAAAAGAGGAGGAACAGTTAAGTAAGATGCTATATTTTAAAAGGAGCGTATAAAAAGTATATATGCAGAGGACTAGAGTAGAAATGGTAAGTACTAATGAAAGTAGAACAAGAAATGGAAATAGGAAAAATGGACAGGGTACTGGGAGGAGAGGAGGAAAAGCAGAGAAGTGGATAGGCAGCGGTACAGATAAATCAGAGGAGAAGAAAAGTGAAAAATAACAGGCAAGAAGAAGGAAAGGGGAAAAAATGGAATACAGTGATTTACGCATACCTGGGTCCTTATTTTGACAGTTGAATAAATAAATGAATAAATGAAGGTGAGAAATAAAGATGAGAAAATAAAGGTGAGAAGGAATAAAGGAATAGCCAAAAAAGGTGAAAATATGTACAATCTGATTCTAGTCTACCACGTTATGTATTTATAACACTGTATTCATTATACTCAAAAAGTGCCGAGTCCTCCCCTAATCCTGTCAATGGAGAGCAAAACCCTTTTATAGCAATATTTGAATTGCTTGAATCCAACAGGCGGAGGTTGCAGTGAGTTGAGATTGTACCACTGTACTCCAGCCTGGGTGACAGAGCAAGATTCTGTCTCAAGAAAAAAAATAAATAATCTGAGTACTAATAGCGTTCATTCATTCATTCATTCAACCAATGTTTACTAAGTACTCAGTGAGCCAGACACTATATTAGGTGTTAAGAATTTGACTGTAGGACACACAACCTATGCCCCTAAGGAGACTGCAAAAAAAAGCATTAAATATATTTTGCAAGTTGGAAAAAAATCTTCTACTTTATATTGCACAGGCTACATGATCTGTGAAAAAAAAAAAAATCAAAATCAAAAGTAATAGTAAGTCTTGGCCAAAAGCCACAGGAAACAGGGGCATTTTTCTCAATAGAATTAGATGACATTATGACATGTGCCCATTTAGAATGGAACTGCAAATCATAAAAATGCCAAAAATGTGGAGAAGAAAAACATTAAAGGAGCTAACAGCAGAATATTAAAGACAGACATAATTAAAGAGAGAAAGGCATAATAAATACAGGGTACTTTAAATTCTCTTTGTCATAGGGCTGTACTGCAGTTTGACTCCCAATCCCATTAAAGTCATTCTAAATTGATTCCCTGGGTATAATGAGCCCCTCTTGATAACACCAAAACACTTGGCCTCTCAAGAGCTCCTTAAAGGCAACCCTGCAGAACATGCCACTAGCAGGATATTCCTGCAAGGAACTAGCAGCCACTTCATTTAGCAGCCTGGCATGCAGTGAAACAGACCAATGTCTGGCTTTTACTCCCCGGATGTACAGCAAAAGAATGAATAGCTTCCCTCTGCCCATGAAGGGAGACCTTTAAGGTACATATTGCAACAGCATGGTTCTACCTTTGATATTTCCTGGTTATTAATATCTTAGGCTTTGAGTTGTTACATTATAGGTTTTCTGTAATGAAGACTCTTAATTATTTTATATTTAGTCTACAAATTTTAGCATCCTACTTAATTTGAATAAAGAGAGAATTTAAGAAATTTCCCACTGAGGTTATCTATCCTAAATATTTTTGATAATTCTATATGGAAAAGGGCTTAAAATAGGATCAGAGTATTCCAAATACGTTTTATAATCAACACTATTCTCTTCCACCATACAATACTAGCAAATATAAGGAACAGACAAGTCAATGGGACATCCAAGGAACCCAAATTATTACATTACCATTTTCCTGGACCCCATTAACCTTGAGAGAACTGTAAAGGTCATTAGTTTGCATGGCTAAATCGCTTTCAGCAATTTCTCTAAAAACGTGGCACCAATAACTCTTTCACCCATGCTCAGGGACTTTTTTCCTTCCCTTTTTTAATCATGAAAGACATTTGCATGAAAACAGGATCTTTGTTTCCTAAGGACTGATCCACTTGCTACTTACTGTTGCTTCTTCTGCACCTTGGTGACATCATAGCTCTGGCTAAGGAGCTAATTTTAAAATCACAAAGGACTGTGATTTCAAGTGGAAGCAGCTAACCTCTTGGGAAACAAAGACCCTGTTTTCAAGCCATTGTTTCTGACAATAAAATGCAAGAAACATTAAACAACTAAAATGTAAAATAGATGTTTTATCTGAAAATAGATACTAACATTGTCTGTGATTCTCTACTTCTTAAAGCTGCAGGAAAAAGTTACACAAATAAAAAGATAAAAGAAACTAAAAATGAAATTTGGAATGTTAACAACATGCTTTCTGTACACTTTGCCAGTGTTGTTTGCCTGCAAACATTGGACAATCATATTATCATTGTATTATACTATCCTCATTTCAAAGAGTGATAGCAATCTGAAAATAGGCTTTGAAGATAGCATATTTTATCTAGACATTACTTCTTTTTTGTAAATACAAATCCACTTATAATATTGTTATCATTTAATTATCCCTACATAATTTAACGTTTTGCTTACATTTTGTTATTTCTGTTATCACAATTAAGAATCACTTTTCAGTGATTTTAATCTCAGCAATGTGCATATATGAGGATAACCCTAATCACTATTTATGAGATAATTAGAAATATTCCTTTGCATAGCATGAAATAAAACTCTGTATCTTGTAAATTTCAAGGTATTGAATAAGAAGAATATAAATTATTTATAACACATTTTAAAGAATTTATACAATTTATAAAATCTTATGACAAAATTATAAATGACCATTGAGAGCAGCTGGGTGATGTCCCCCCTTTGAATGAGGTTTCAGAAATGATAACAAAGCATGGACATTCACATTTGCATGATTCATGCAACCCATGGACCATAGGCTGGAGTTAGTGTGCCACTTCTCCAGTATACTACTGAGACAATCACACATGGCATGGTCCTGTTTCCTGCGATTATTTGTGGCTCTCTTGGGCTTGAATACAACAATGTATCAGAAATGAGAAGGCTGTGGGTCAGTGTCCTGGGTGAACTATTTAGTTTCGCCCTCTCTGGACCACAGACTGCATGCCTAGCTCCAATTACCTGAATCAGTGTGCCCAGTTCTTGTGTTAAAGGAAGACTGGGGGAAAACAAGAACTGAAACTGGGCTCACATCTTATAATTGTTTTCACAAAGCCGACTCACATGCACATGCCACAGTGGCGGCACGGTTTAGGTGTACGCCAAGGTGGTGTTGTTATGGGTACTATGCTTAAGAATACTTAAAAAAAAAAGCCACTCTTTATGAAGCACATATATGCTAGGAACGGTGCTCAGTACTTTACATACATTATCTCATATTTACAATAAACCTTTTAAGGTATTTTTTTCTCTGTTAAGGAGAGGATGTGACTGAGACTTGGTGGAGGTAATTAGACCACCTTTACACAGCTGGTGTGGATATACTGGGGTTCAAGCCAATCCCAGGTCTGTGACTCCAAATTCCTCATTTTTCTTCCTAGTTCAAGAGATATGTAACATGGACTTGAAAACTAGTAAACAAAAGATCCAGTATTTTACCAACACCCTGGCTGAAAAATCTGTAGATTCACTTATTCACTCAGCAAACATTGGTTGAGTAGTTACTCTGTGATGATTCATAGTTTGTGAGAGGAAATGTAGTATTTTTTTTAAAGGATGGTTTAGAATCTGAGACTGACTCTAAGATAAACCGATAAGCCTCCTTCCTAGCTTCTGTGGTCCGACCACGGCAAACCACTCAACGCTTGTATCTTCAATGTGAAACAATTAGATGCAACTATTCCCATGTTTGCTTCTAAAAAGGGAACCCCTTCATGCTTCTGTTCCAATTCTCAAGCAGTATCTACTGTTATTCTGTAGCAGATATACCAGTAACAAGCTATTGTTAATTAACAAGCATTCCATGGAAATGTGGGCTAAACAATGACTTCATTCCATAGCATAATCTATTTCATACGTCTTTGCTTATCCCCGTTTTTTTTTCACATGTAAAATGTGCTAACTGGAGTGCTATGTTGCCATCTGAATGTTGCTTAATGCTTGCTTTATTATACATAAGTGAACAGCTACTGTATTCGTTTGCTAGGGCTGCCGTAATAAAGTACCACAAGCCAATAGCTTAAAAAACAGAAATTCGTCTCACAGTTCTGGAGGCTAGAACTGTGAAAAAAATCAAGATGTCACCAGGGTTGACTCCTTTGGTAGGCTAAGAGAGACTGTTCCGTGAATCTCTCCTAGCTTTTAGTAGCTTGCCAGCAATCTTTGGAGTTCCTTGGTTTATGGCATCATAACTCCAACCATCATGTGGCATTCTCCCTTTGTCCCTGTGTCCAAATTGTCCCCTTTTATAATGACACCAGATATACTGAATTAAGGCCCAACCAAATCTTTTCATCTTAACTTGATATTCTATAAGGACCCTGACTCCAATAAAGGCCCTATTGTATGGTATAGGGAGGGAGTTAGGGCTTCGATATCTTTTGGGGAGACACAATTCAACCCACAACAGTGATCCTATATAAAGTTTGATTTCTTTAGATGTTTCATAAATTTTAGGCTCAGATGTCTCCTTGTTGCACTAACTCCAATTGAAGGACCATGTGGCAACACCGTCACTGGAAACCCACAGAAAAAAAAAAAAAAAGACAAGACACAGCTTCACGTTTAGAGAGAGCAGGCATTCAGCAAAGCACTGGTCTCATGCAGCAAGGGCCTATGTACTCTGTTTCCATTTCATAGAAGTCCATGCCAATTGAAACGCCAGCTATCCATACTATGCACATGCTAAAGACAGATGCACTTTTCCATTCAATCAGGGACAATTCCATTCAATCAGGGACAATGAACCCTGCTGTGTCATGTAGGATGGCGGCCTCAATGAGATACATCTTGATTTAATGGAGAAATAAAAGTGATATAAGATCATAAGCTAAGACCATCATAAAGTCCATGCAAGCACCCTATACTTTAATACTCCCAAGCTGCTTTTTAACTCTGAGTGAAACAATTTGTCTAATGTCTACAGAAATGGTTCAACTAATTTCCTCCTTTAAGTAATATCAACCTGTCTACTATAATACACCTTAGTGGAAGCTGCCTTCTTTTCTCTGGTTCTTTTTTTAAATGCTGCAACTCTATACAGATATAGGAATGGATGCAGTGCTTATTTCTGAATGGCAGAAACTATCCCACAGAAATAAAGCAAATCCACACTTGATTACTGTCTTTAGAGACCCTTTGCAAGCACCAGAGTCTGAAAATAGTCAAGTAGATGATAACGAACTGCCTTGGGCAGGAGAAAGCAGCCACAGCTTTTTCCTACGCCTTCATTAATAATTCCTTCATTCAATCACACATAATTTTTGAACACCTATTTGGTCTCATGTTCACTGTTTTAGGTTTAAATAGGGTAGTGGGTACAGACCTCATTGAAAACGTAACATTTGAGAAAAGACTTAAATTACAGAAGGCGTTGATCATGAAATGTGTATAAATATTTCAAGTAGAGGAAATAGCCAATACAAAGACCCTAAGACAGGGGCAAGTCTGGTGAGCTCAAGGAATAGCAAAGAGACCAGGGTGGTTGAGGCAGAGACAACGAGAGGAGAGAAGTTGGAGGTGAGGTCAGGGAGGAGGTAAGGGCCGGTTCACGTAAGGCTTTCGTGGATACTACAAAGGCTTTGATTTTACTGAAGGAAATGGAGAACCATACCAGCATTTTGAACAGAGAGAATGAACAGACTTTTGTTTTAAAATCTCTTTACCTTAAAAGTCAAAAGTGAATGGCCAAGAATTGATAACTTAAGCCAGTTCAGCACATGGAAATGGCCGTTCACAATCCCACCTCAAATCTTCAAATGCTAATGAGTTTGGCATCATTATAATTTTTTTTTTCTTAAAGAAAGGAACACCAGGTGCAGTGCCTCACACCTGTAATACCAGCACTTTGGGAGGCTAAGGCAGGTGGATCACCTGAAGCCCAGAGTTTGAGATCAGCCTGGCCAACATGGTGAAACCCCAGCTTTACAAACACACACACACACACACACACACACACACACACACACACACAAAACACAAAAATTAGCCAGAGCCGGTGGCACACATCTGTAATTTCAGCTACCCTGGTGGCTGAGACACGAGAATCGCTTGAACCCAGGAGGCAGAGCTGGTAGTAAACCAAGATGATGCCACTGTACTCCAGCCTGGGCATCAGAGCAAGAATTCTGTCTCAAAAAAAGAAAAAAAAAAAGGAAAAAAAGAAACAGAGATTTATGCATATTTCGTAATCTTTATTTTAGGGTAGGTTCTTTCCTAAAGTTATATGAGCTCAGATTCTATTTCCTACTCATTAAAATTAAGGGTTGATTCTGAAAGTTTTCTATAAAATTACACATACACAGTATTAATATCTGTAGGAGCCAGCCTCCATGGTGGTCTAGGATGACTTTTGCCCCTGATATTAACATCTTTACAGTGAATAAACAGTGAATGATAGCTGGCCAGTATGACCAATACAATATGGCAGAAATGATGGTGTATGATTTTCAAGGCTAGGTTATAAAAGGCATTGCAGCTTTTATCTTGTTCTCTTGAATCACTCACTCTAGGAAAAACAGCCATTGTGCAGTAAGGAGAGGCCCACGTGGAGAGGAACCCACTTGCCAGCCATACAAGCAAGTCACCTTGGAAGTGGGTCCTCCAGCCGCACACAGGCTTTCATTTGGCCGGCTCCAGCCAACAGCTAGTGACTGCATCTCGCTGGTGACATGCAATCCCATGAGTGACCATGAGCCAGAATTTCCAAACCAAGCTGCTTCTACATTTCCAATGGGCAGAAATCACAGAAATAAAATCCTCACCATTATTTTAGCCATGAAAGCTTTTGTTACTCAATCACAGATAACTGTTATATTTCAAATAATCTGCACAGGGATTATCAGTTAGCTGTTGTTCAAAACATTTACTTTTGTCAAATATGCTTTTGAATTTTTGAACTCAACTAAATATTCAGTAATAAGATCACAGCCAGATAAAACTACATCGGAAAGTTGCCAAAAAAAAAAAAAAAAACCTTTCGTTTGACTGATATCAAATCAAAAAAGTACTGATTTGCAATGATACAGAATGTTGGAGAAAGCATGGACTTTGAAGTCAGAAAAAATAATGGTTATGAATAATGTTCTACTTAATAGTTTGAGCAAATTACTTAAACTAATCAAACCTCAGTTTTTCAATCTGTAAAACATGGAAAACAATACTTAACTTATGCTGCTGAAAAAAGTGTGAGATAATGTGTAAAAAATAATTTTATTCAATAAACATTAATTTCCCTTTTATTAAAATGAATCTGGGCCATGTTTATTTTGTAAAGACAAATACTCTAAAAATAATAATGTATTACATAAGCTTTATTTGGTTATCTCATGGCTAATCTTAATACTAATATTAGGTTTGAAATATTAATACTAATAGTATTAATATTAAACAGTATAATATGAAATAGTAATATTAAACAGTAATGTTAATATTAGTATTAATACTAATATTAGGCCTAATATTGAGCTAACCAAACTCAAGAGTATAATCAGTAATTCATTTGTTATTGGCTACTGAAATGGCATTTACATTTTGGAAAGAGGAAATAACTCAATAAACACTTTGCCCAATCGGATTAGTCATAATATTTGTGTGACTTCTAAGGCTAGGTCAGATGTGAGACTTATTTTTAGTCTGTTTTTAATCGTAAATGTAATTTCAATGACCATATGACATATGGGTACTGATACAGATGGACCAAAAACATTTAAAAACTAGAAGTCCTCATTAATTCAATAGCACAATTAACTGAGTTTGTGACCTCTAATTTGGAAATATGGTTTGATTCACAATATTCATAATTATCTTATTAATCATAATCTCATGAATAATGTATTGTCTTATAGGGCTAAAAGGAAGGAGTTAATACAGGAATCTTGATCCCAATATCTACAATATTTACCAATGCATAGACTGTGTTAAACACAATCTATATGCCAGGTACTGACATAAGCACTGGGGGTTTAAAAACCCAAAATGAACCTGCCCCTGCTCCCAAATAACTTAATATCTAGTGTTCTCTCTTAGGTTACTTCTACAATGTAAAACTGACAGACAATGTAGCATATTTTCCCCAGTTCTTTTATTTATCCTGCCTGTTTTCACAAGTTTTAGAGAGGACTTTAAAAGAAAACAGAATGGATTACTGACTAATATGGTTTGGCTGTGTCCCCACCCAGAACTCACCTTGAATTGTAATAATCCCCAAGGGTGGGGCCAGGTGAAGGTAATTGAATCATGGGGATGATTTTCCCCATATTGTTCTGATAGAGAAAAAATCCCACAAGATCTGATGGTTTAATAAATGGGAGTTATCCCGCACAAGCTCTCTTGCCTACCACCATGTAAGATGTGCCCTTGCTTCTTCTTCGCCTTCCACCATGATTGTGAGGCCCCCCAAGCCATGTGGTACTGTCAGTCCATTAAACCTCTTTTCTTTATCAATTACCCAGTCTCCTGTATATCTTTATTAATTTTATGCAAGAAACAAAGTTTTAACTGTGCTTTGGCTGAAACCTGTCACATGAGGTCAGGTGTAAATTTTCCACATATGGCAACATGTTGGCTCTCAAAAAGTTTCAGATTTTGGAGCAGTTTGGATTTGAGATTTTCAGTTAAGGCATGCTCCACTTGTATTTAGTAAACTGAACTGTGGTCAAAGTAATTTTTTAACTGCTGTGCTATTTTATTTATTGTCATCACCAATAAAGGCTAGCTTCCCCGTAAGTACTTTGTAAATCATACCACCAGTTTAAGGCTTATAAAAACTATTTTAATTCTATGTGGTTTAATGCTTTGAATAATCCATCAGGATTTTTCTTTAGATCTTTAAAAGGACTATAATGAGTTTAGAGATGATAGAGATTAAATTTACACAACACTCACAATGAGAGCAAAAGGAATATTTCATCACCCCACAGACATGTACGTACAGCAGTCTACTGTAGTAGATTGTTCTACTATCCCAAAACATTAAGATGTGAATGTGACTTCTCAATTCCCCAGAAAATTATGTGGGTCAAGCCAGGGAGGGCCAGTGCTGGTGCCATCACCATATGATTTCAGGCTAAAATTTTTAAGATATTTTCCCATGCTTCTATGTCATTGCTAACTCAACAATTTCAGCCTCTTCTTCTAAAGCGGGTGAAAGGGAAGGAAAGAAACACGAAGTCAATGAGATTTTCATGACAAACTCTGGAACACTGTTATTGTGCTATTGGATAATTCAAGGACATTATTTATACTCACCCTCAGCTCAATGTCTAAAAATACTTGTAAGGATTATTGTCAAAAAACCATTTGTGACTTCCTTTTGGAGGATAAGAGAATAATAAACTTCAGTCTTGTAAATATCTTTATCAGAACAGTCTCCATGAAATTCTTCCCCTTCCTTTCTTATTCTTAGGCTATTTATTTTTATGAAATTGAGCTTTCTAAACCTATCAAAGAAGTATTTACTTGGACTGACTTCCTTCCTCCTTCCATCATTTCTTCCTCCCTTCCCTCTTTTCTTCTG